ACATATACTGATAAAAATAGAATCCCTGCTTGCTGGCATGCTAAGCTACTTGCTAATGATAAAAGGATGAGAAAACCAAACTAAGAGCATCTCGGCACAATCATGGTTTAATCTGCCCCATGAGTTAGTTTTTCTGTGCATAGATTTCATGACATTGTGTGCCCTGTGTGTGGAACCTGTTCTACAGACTTTGGAAACACCTTTGGCAAAGGGAATATTGGATGTCCAGTCAGTAGATTGATAACAAGTCTCAAGGACTTTCCCTTTGAGCCTGCAACAATGTCTTTTTTCTCTTTCTCAAACAGATCAAATATTGGGAATTCCATTTCTCTTGAAGTTAAATGACATGCCCTTCAGCTACAAGGCTTAATCAAGAAAATGGGAGGACCTGTTCCTTTATCAGATATATTGGAATTTTTGGCTATTGTTAGGGAACAATGCCCCTGGTATCCAGTCATTGATATGTTGTAGGCAGAAACCTAGGAGTGCATAGGACAGAATCTCATGATGTCCATAGGACCAGTTACATTAAAACATTTAACTATATGGAATTAATACCATTAGTTATTCAACCAATCCAAACTCTGCAGACATCAAATATTACTCTTTTGGAAAACATATGAAGGTACTTGGAACCAAATAATTGGGTATCTACCAGAATCCACATAAAAAGCAGAACTTTATCTGTTATATTTGCTTTAAAACATTTTTCTGGCTTACCACTTTCTTACCACTTAATTTCATTGTGGATTCCCAATATGTTTTTATATTTTTCAAAAATTATTGGATGCTAATCTTAACCCATCATGAGATTCTCCTCTGATTTCTCTTTTTACCATGCTGTCTACTTTGTTGACCTATTTTCAATTCCAAGGTCATAAATATTTAATTCCATTGTATCTCATAAATGTTATGTGTTTTAATTCATATTTAGTTCATTTATAAATTTTGAGTTAATGTTTGTATGTTGTGTGATGTACAACATTCTTTTGTGCTAGAAATCCAGTTGCCAAATCAGAGTTTGTCGAAAAGACTATTATTTACTGTTTAAATGAATTTGTCATTCAATGAAAAAGTCACCTGTGCATGGATATATGTGCTTATTTCTGAACTGTCAATTCTATTGTATTGATGTTTATTTCTATACTTATGCCAGAACAACACTGTTTTGATTACTCTACTTTTGTAGTAAGTTTTGAAATCTGGAATGTAAGTTATATGAACCTGTTTTTCTTTTTCAAGATTGTTTTGGCTTTGGGGGGTTTACTAATTCCACTTGAATTTGATAGTAAACTTTTCCAGTTCTTCAAAAAATTTGGAGTTGAACTTTTTATAGGGATTGCATTGAATCTGTAACTCAATTTGTGTAGTATTTACACATTAAGAATATCAAATCTTCCTATCCATGAACACAGAAAATTTTTCCATATAATTAAGTATTACAAATTTCATTGAGGCATGATTTTAGGTTTAATGTGTTTCATTACCTTGATTAAATTTATTCTTAAGTATATTATAAAAGGATATTATTATAAATGAAATTGTTAATTTCACTATTAGATTGTTCATTTCAAGTATCACAGAAACACAACTGATTTTTGTGCATTGATCTTTTCCCTTATTGCTTTGATAAACTTATTTATTAGCTTTAATAACTTTTCTTATGTAATCTTTGGGCTTTCTATGGATAAGATGTTATAAGTAACAGTGATAATTATATTTCTTTCCAATTTGAGTTTTCAAATTTTCTCTTTTTACTTAATTGCTCTGGATTGAACTTCTAGTACAATATTCAATAATAGTGGTAATAGTGGGCAACATTTTTTCTTAATCTTCAGAGGAATACTTCACTCTTTCACTATTGACCGTAATCTTTAACTGTGGGCTTTTCATAAATGCTGTATGTGATGATATGAAAGTTCCCTAGTATTCCTAGTTGTCTAAATGTTTTATTTAATCATGAAACAGGACTGGCTTATTTCAAATGCCCTTTCTCTATTAACTGAGATGATCATGCATTTCTCTCTTCATTTCATGAATATATATTTTGATGTTTGATTATCTTATATCAAGTAAACATTTCTAGGATAAATCCCACATTATCATGACATATTATCTTTTTAATAGTTTGCTGTATTAGATTCAATAGTATTTTTCAAGCATATTTTCATTGGTATTTATAATGACATTGATCTCTAATTTTCTCTTTGTGTGACTTCTTCCATTAGCTTTGGTATTAAAGTAATGCTGGCCTAAAAAAAATGAGTTGGGTAGTGTTCCTTTTCATTGTACTCTTTGTAAGAGTTTGAGAAGGATTGGTTATTGTGCTTTTTTAAAATATTTTGAATAAACCCATCTTGTTCTGGAGTTATCATTTTGGAGAGATTTTTAATTATAAATTCAATCTCTTTACTTTGTTATTGGTGTGTTAATTTTTTTTGCTTCACTCAGTTTAGGTAATTTGCATGTTTCTAGATAATGTGTTTATTTTATCTTGGTTATCTAACTTGTTAGTAAAGAGTTATTCATAGAAGTCTCTTATGATTCTTTATTTATGTGTGTGAGGTTGAACAAATACTCCCATTTCCATGTTTTATTTTATCATTATTTTATTCTCTTCCTCATTAAGGATTTTTCTATTTTCTATTAATTAGCTTCTTTTTGCTTTTGATTGTTTTTATTGAATGCAGACCATTATATATGAAAAATTATAAAGATCATTTGAGGCTTGTGATGATATTATCTTCCATTAGAGAGAATTTTGTCAGTTACAGTAGGGGAGAGATCAAATTAATGCAATCAGGGATAATGCTAAAAACATCTTCAGTTTGGGGGAGGTCTAGTTTCCCTCTGATTTATCATTAAACCTAGCATGTAACCCATTATTGCTCCTAATTTAAAGCTTGGCTGGCCAAGAATACCCATTTTATTCACTTAGTTATATAAAACTAATGAAAAATCTGGTCAGCTTTTCAGCTTCTTATCAACCAATTTCTACTCAGCCTTTCAGTTTCTGGGTTGCCTATTTTAAATGGATAAATAGACACAAGATAAGATCAGGGTAAAAGGTGAGATTCATTATGCTTAGCTTTGATTCTTTATGGGATATTATAACTATAAACTCCATCTTGCCTTAATATCATTTTTTTTGGAACTGGGTATTGAACTCAGGGATACTCGACCACTGAGCCACATTCTCAGTCCTATTTTGTATTTTATTTTGACAAAGGTTATCATTTGAGTTGCTTAGCGCCTCACTTTTGTTGAGGCTGGGTTTGAACTCACAGTGCTCCTACCTTAACCTCCCAAGTTACTGGGATTACAGGGAAGTGCCACCACGCTCAACACCTTAATATTATTTTGATGCTCTCAAATAGAAGTGCTTATTTATTTCTAGATTTTTGTGTTTTACTTTGTAGGATGGTTAGTCTAAAGAATCTGCAGTGTATTTGCTTGAAATAGCAGCCTAATTTTGAGGATATTTATAGACATAAATTTTCCCATGACCTTTCTCAACAGTAAGGCAAGAAATGGTAGAGACTGAATGAAAAACCCTATATGTATATTAATGCAGAAAATAGTTGGACTCCAATTACCGATATTCTTGTCTTTTCATACATATTCACCCTCACCTGAAGAAGAAATTTCATTCAATTAACAAGTTTGAAATCAGGATTTGAAGATTAAAAGAGTTATTATATCTAGACATTATAATTAACTGTACCTTGCAAGTTATTAACTACCATATAAGCATGGGCTATTATTATTATTAAATATTCTCCCATGGAATCAGACTTTGAATTAATTCCAGAAAAACAAATGCAATTTACATATAAATGATACCTGTGATAATGAACACTAGTTTAAGACTTCCTGGTATGTTTAATCATGCCAAATATATTGATTTTTTGAAAAACAGGACTTCTCATGTTTACCTGGCTGGCCACAGATGCCTAAGCTCAAGAGATCTTTTTCCCTTAGCCTTCCAATTATCTGGGACTACAAGCATGCACCATTATGCCCAGCTCACATCCAAATGTTTATTAGATCACGTACTATTTACAAAAATTATGCTGAATAACCTTAATAGAAAATAATAGCAGATTGTATCTAGCCTCAAGATAATCAAAGTCTATTTTTAATACATAAAATATACATTAAAAGTAACCATTATATGTTTACATATTTCAGTACTCTGCTAATCTCTGAGGGAAATCATTTTGTCTCACTCATTTTTATTTTATCTATGAAGCCCAATACATGGATTTATATAGTGCTGACCCACAAATAATTATGGAATTAAAACAATGTTAGAAATTAGCATATTCCTAATTCAGTGAAATAAGAACAACAAAAGAAGGCACCCTGTTGAATGGATTAATATATAGCTGGATTGTATGAATACATGTATGGATAAATAAATAAACGGATGTAAGTATAAATAGGTGAATGAATGAATGAGTTCTAAATTACTCCTTAAAGACATATTATGTTATGATAAGGGGGAAAAGTCATGGTACCAAAATTTAGGTAGAACAAATATTATGACAAAAATACAGAGCCTAAATAATCTATAAAACATTTAAGGACAAAGTAGTAAAACATTTTCATGGTAGTACAAGGGTCATATAAACTATGGTAAAATAATAGATTATTTTTAACCAAAGAGGACCCTGAATGCCAGTTTATCAAGATCATACAATTCTCCCTATATAACAAGAACCATTTGAAAATTTTAATGGCTATTTTAGAAAAATATAGTATTAATAGTAAATTCAGACTGAATATGAAAGAGATTTGAGGTGACAACTCCATTTGGTAGCTATATTAATATTCCATCTATTTTCTAGCAAAGTATAGGCTGAAATTTCAGTGTTGGCACTAAAAATGATAAAGAACAGACAGATTATATACAAATTATTAAAGATAAACTTACTAGACTTTATGAACAAATGTATATGAAGATGTGTGGGGAAGAGCAAAACAAAACTATGTCTTACCTGTTCAGAGAAATGTTTCAGTAATGTGATATGTTTAATGAGATGACTTTTCAGACTGGAAAATTCTGACATGCAATCAAATGGAGGCCTGTCGGGGAAGGATGACAAAGAGATTCCATCAATCTGAGTTTCACTGTACCTTAAGAAATTGAAAATAACAATCCATTATATAACGAGTTTTAAATCAAAAAGTGCCAGGAGTCAGTTAAAATCTATTCATCACAAAATTATATAAAAAAGTAACAAATCTTATAAAAAAGCTTTAGTGTGCAGTATTTCTTTCACTTCAATAAAGTGGCAGGATGGTAAGAGCAAAATATAAAATAGTTATTTGTGTTTATGAATTGCTTTAAATAGGTAAATGTTTTATATTACTTCCTTTTCTTAACTTCCTTAGTGTATATAAAAGAGAAGGCAGGAAAAGAGTGTCAAATATGACCTAAATACACCATTGAAAAATAAATATTGCCTTATATAGAATTTACTTTTTGACACAAAGGGAAATATTTTATTTAAAACACTATAGATAACTGAGAAGTTTGGGTTTTATTATTCATGTCTAGCATAATTTTTAGTCTTCTGCAGTATGGGAGACATCTAATCACAAGTGAAATTTTGAATACATTATAATACATGTATAATTTTGTTGAAAAAATGATGAGACTTCATCTGTATATTAAGAACATTTCAGAAACGGAGAATAGTTTTCAGAATGTCAATTGTAAAATAAATAATCAAGACTATAGTATGAATCCATACTTACCTTCACAAGGTATATGAAACTTTATTTTTAACAATCAGATAGAAAAAAGAAATTCATACGCTTACCTCTCAATTGCTAAGAGACTATAATCCTTGGTCTTTGCCTTAAAGTGCCATTTTCTAGAAGTGTATTTCTATACTTACTATATAGCATTTGTAATGACTGAAATTACCCCTTATAAGAACATAAACTTATATAGCAAAAATTACTTTCCAGGATACACAATTCACTTTTCTATAACTCTCTCCAGGGAATGAAACCTTTCAGGGAAATTCGTTGAGCCATTTTTTAAAAAAAATTATCTATTTGTGTGTGTATGTGGCTCAATGGCTAAACACCCCTGGGTTCAATCCCTGGTACCAATAGAAAGATTAAAAAGAAAGAGAGAAAAAAATAAGGTTACCCCCCTTATTCTATTCTATCTCTTATTTTTTAACATAAAACATGCTCAGTTTATGTTTCCCTACCAGCCCTTACCAGCAAAATCTTTTGCTTATATGAGTGGTCTTAAATCACATTATGCCCAATGAAATAATAAATTCTTTTTGTTTTGAATCAATAAACCACCAACAATTTTAATGGCAAATGGAAACAATATTATGATAAAAAAATCTTGTCAACAGATTTCATTTAGAACCATGAATAAAATCTTTCAAAAGTCCATAACTTCTATAGTAAATTTTAAAATATAACTTCTGTTACTTATTAAAGAAGTACTAAAATGATATTTTATCATAGAAATATAAGCTTATAGTGCTTGTAAAATAAACTTTTTACATAGTATAGGGCAGTTGAAAAAGTTCAATTAATTCACTGTAAAGTCTGAATATTTTACCTAAAAAGAAGAAAGAGGTAACTCATTTGAGGAAGAGGTCAAATAACAGGCTTTCCCTCCTTTTATTCATGATATCTTGAATTAAATTCTTGAATCAACTTCAATTCTCAAATTCTATTTTTCCTCTTACCAAAAGGATTCACAAGACTTGTATTCTCCTTTAAATAAAACTGAAATAACTTTAGGTTTGAAGTAATAGTTTTATTAAGCAATGATGCATCACATGAAATAATTGCTTTAATCACAATTTGAGAAGAATTCAATACTAAAATTAATAATTCAAAATTTTAAATTTTAACAGTATTTTTCCTGTGTTTTTTTTCAACACAGTGCTAAGGCTGCTTTCAGAATAAATTACATAAATCACTTTGCCCAGGAATATAATGATTCAACATCAAAGAGGAAAGAAGGAGCTCTAGTTGATACTCTAATTATATATGTGGTAAGGGAAAATATAATTATTATATAAGAAATGCAAAGCCAGGTGTGGTGGCACACACTTGTAATCCCAGCAGCTCAGGAGGCTGAGGCAGGAGGATCACAAGTTCAAACCCAGCCTCAGCAACAGTGAGGTGCTAAGTCACTCAGTGCAACTCTGTATCTAAATAAAATAAAAAATGGGGCTGGGTATGTGGCTCAGTGGTGGTATGCCCCGAGTTCAATCCCTGGTACATCCCCCCAACCCCCCCCAAAAAAAAAAGAAATTCAATTTGGTTGAACCCTAACTTCTAAAAAATCCTTGATGCTATCTTTTCATAAATAAGTCAGAAGAGTTCCTGATACAACTTGCAAAATGTAAGGCCTTTACTAGAAGGTCTTTTTAAAATCAGTAGCGATTAAAGCAAAGAAATTTAAGAGTACTGAGGTGTTTTATAACAACCATGTCTAGTATAAGATATACCATTGTGATTTTTTATTTGTTTCATAACATTTTTTGGTGTTCAAAGATCATGCTTTAGAATGATCAATGAGTCTTCAGCTTAGTAAAATGTTATTCAGCATGAATATCTCTTATTCGTTGGTCACTAATTCTTAAGAAAATCCTATATGAATATGTAATGTTTTAAACTAAAGTTTAAACCTTAAGATAGAAGATCCGAAAGTGAATTTCCATATTTGAAAGACATGATTATATAAAATATGAGGTCATTTTATATAGATTATTTTATTCTGAAAGTAGAATCTACCTGCCTTAAGAGATAGTTACTGTAAAATATAGGAAAAAAATATAAGCCCCTACTAATCTTACATGGTCCCATTGAGAACAAATACACCCCCTTAAATTGAAGAATTTAGTGAAACTATTGATGATTAATTCTTAATACTGACACTATGATGCAAATTTTCTAATGAGACCACTTTGATAAAATGAGAAAATCTAATATTTTGAATTACCAACTGTTAGTTAAACCGATTGCAATTTATTTTGGTGAGGTCCTCTTTTTGTCACTACTCTATCCTGTGGATATCTTTGCTATGTGCCTAATATAATTTTACTATTTTTCTCCTTTAATTGAGCTTATTCCAATGATACAAATCATTCCCTTTCTGACTGTGTTTGCTGGGCTTTCAATGTTTCAGCTTGTTACTGGAAAGATATTTGTAAGAGACTCAAAAGGAAAGGGAGTAGAGGAACTAATTAATATGCTTAATTTCTTCTGACATGCACTTTAAAATTTCTTTGAACAAATGGGCCAATTGCTTCTTCATTGTTTTCCTTTATATGAGCAAATGGACTTTTAAATAAAAAATTAATTGTAATAAAAATAGATCAGAATTGATTGAAAAAAGCATGTAACAAAGAAGTGTAGGGGATAAGGTCATGACTTCTTGCATTTGCCTAACTTATAAAAACGGGATTCTCTCTTTCTCACAATCTACCCTCCCTTATCTTTGGATATAATGCTTAGAAGAACTGAAAGGTCTAGGAATAAATATGCATAAAATTCTTTATTTGTATATAGAACTAAGAGTTAACAATAGTCTTTCATCAAAACAATAATTAGAAAGTTAAAATATTAATGCTGACCTAAAATTATTATAAAATCAAGATTAGAAATTTGATTTCTAGAGGCTTTTCTTAGTAACACAGGGTTTTAAAGAGTACTAATTCTTTTTTAACTAAAATCCCTAATTTAATTAATATACAATGAAAAAATGGTTTTTGTTAAAATATCCAGATATGGTCATTAAGGACTTTGGTATAAGTTCTGCATTCTTGAAAGACTGTGGAAAAACAAGTGCTATTTCAAATGTACCAGTGGAGTTTGATCTATAAAAGAAACCCAAAGTGAATCCTTTGTAAAATAAATATTATTTTTTTTTGTAAAATCAACAAGTTTTTTGTAAAATTCAGATGATCAAATGTTTGTTCATTTAAAGAGATTAGTACAACTATGTTGTGCATTCCAGGGATATAGTCAGAGCAATAGTAAATTATCTCTAAACATCTTTGAAAGTGTGGAACTAAAATCCAGTGCATAGATAAGGTTTCTAAGGAGAAACAAAGAGGGAAAAAATACGACTACTTTAGGGATTTAAAGATCAGATATTAAGAATTACCTTTCCAGAATGTTTAGTATCATCTTGACCATATTAGTCAGTTCAAGAGCAGCTGCAAGAATATTATGAGGTGGTTGTTCAATAGTGCCATGTAGACTACGCGCCCTTCTTCTTTCCGATATCATGACAAGAACTCGATCAATAGCATGCTCAAGATGTTCACTTTGTTTCCCAAATCTGGTAGGCATCTTTTTGTCATTCTGAAATTAAAGTAGGAATTTGGGGGTAGAAATGAAGCAGTACTTTTCTAATACACTATAAATATGGAATAGGTTCAATATCAACATCATGCAGCCAAAGTAAAGTAAGAGTGATGAAAAATTATCATCAAGTACTTTCAATACTTTAAATATTGTTTCTGGTAAGACATCACTCATGGCAAGTACATAAAGGACACAAAAGTAATAAAGTTAAACCATGAAAATGTTGATGTTTTAATGTTTTCATATGGCAAAACTACTACGAATAGGACGTATTAATTTGATATTGCATTATTGATGCACCTATCTCATGTCCTTTCTAGGGCATAATCTTTCAAGAGGAGAATCCATCCTACTTTACTCTTTGGACAGTATTGGGCATAGATAAAAGAGAGAGAGAGAATGAAGTCCCTTTTATTTATCTTAACTCCCTGGGAATTATGTATATCTCTTTTTGAGAGCTGATAATTTAAACATACATGAGCTGTAAGATTCTTAATTGGGTAATTGTATATAAATGCAACACTTGATTAGGCATTCCCATTTACATGTATTCTTTGTATGAACATGTGTACACAAACTGAATCACTCATAATTTATTTCCAGAAACTTGTGAAATGTTTTAACTTTATAATTTATAATGATATAAACATTATTTTGACAAAATATATTTCATCAGTTTCACTGCTTATTGACAGTTCTTTTATACTACAATTTCCCTTTTCTTAGTTCCTCATTTTTATTTACTTCATGTTCTGGAGAAATATATCTCCAGTACTTTCAAGGAATACATTGGCAATATACATCCTGATTTTAAAGTATTAAGAATATCTTTTAGCTTCCAAATCATGATTGATTTCCCAAGTGCACACCATCTTATCTTAGTAATAGAAGCCTCCTGATTCACAGTGCTCTTTTTACTACATTATTAAATATTGTGGCCATAAATGGATTAGAGAAAATGGGGATTTTCTGACATATGCCCCATTTTTTCACTGTGGTGAAACAGAAACATATCTAGGTCTTCTGTGAGGTCCAAATTTGTTAAAAATCTAAAATCTTAGGTATTTTTTTCTAAAATATAGATAATACTGTCATTTTATCAATGCATATGGCATTTAAATATATCAAATGTGCAAATAGGAGATATTATTTATATATAATTACTATGTGTTAAAAAGAATCACAGTAATTTAGAAATTCGTAGGTACTAAATTCTAAATGATAAACAATCTCTTTGCAGGATGAAGGAAATTTCACAGAAATTAACATTTACCCCTTCTGATATCATAAGTAAATTTGGAATGACTTTCATAGTGAAGTTTTAGAAAATTACATTAAAATTAAACAACTGTAAAAACTTTTTGTTGTTGTAGCTGATACCTCACCAGACCTTCAAGAGTGCAAAATTGGGCATATGTCTTTTTTGTTTTTAAAATATGTTTTGCAAAAATTTTATTTTTCTGTAACTCCAAAACATCTAGGTCAGCAAACTTATAATTAGGCAATGTTTAGAATTTGGAAATGAAGTCCAGCAGTGCTATAATCAGAGTTATGTCTGCCTGGATGGCTAACAGCAACTATCACCACTTAAATTGTACAAGAGAGGTCTTGTTGAAATTTTATAAAGTCATATATATTAGCATACAAGTATGAAACTGTCAGTATAAATTATACATAGCAATGAAGTCATGAAGTTTTCCAATTGTTTCTCATATTTTAACTTGTCTTAAAATACTGAATCGTCTTTGAAACCACAAAGGCTACAGTGTACAAAAGGTGACATTTATTTATTTCAACACCTTTGAGAACCTATAAACATGTTAAGAGTCCAAAAAGACAAATCTTTGTGTTTCCAATAAATTTAATTTACTGACTTTTCATATTCAATTTTGATGCATGAAATTAAATAAATGAATAATTTTTCTACTTGACAGTTAACTACTTTTTGCTAATATATGATCTTTATTAATTTTGAGTACAGAACTTTTAATAATTGATGAGAATAATAAAAGCAGAAAGGAATTTTGCATGCATTTCTTTAAGTTTTCTGTTAAGCTATAATAGGATCCTATTCACTACATACCAGTTTTCTCCAAATACTCAATATAGATATTGATATTGCAATGTTCTAACATTATTCATCCCATTCCATGTGGATCAGTAGTAACATCCAAAGAAGTTGCAACTTGAGAATGAAACATATGCATTTAGAAAATACCAATCTATACAGAGAAGTCTATCTGATGTTTCCACTTAGGAGACTTTTCTCAAATGTTTCTGAATAAAACATTGTGGATTTGTGTGATGGAAAATAGAACAGACATACTACAAAATCATCTTTTTAGATGGACACTATATTTTTGTAGAAAGGGGGAAAACCATTTTTTTATTTCACAGTCTTGGGATAGTTTATTGATAAATTAAAACTCTAACATTTCTTAATTTATATCATGTGTCATGCATTGGATCTATGGGTCTCCAGATCTGACTTTACATACATTACTAAAAAAGAGACAAAATATTTGTTACATATTACATTCAAAGTTTTATTTACTTATTGAGAAACTTGTAACTACTTTGCTATTTACCTAAAACCAGATGTGATTACAGAAAACTTAAGCTCTAAATATGGAAAAAAAAATTTTTGTTTACAGGATCCAATAAACAGTAACATTAATGAAAGAAAAAAGGTTTTGAGTCTCATACTGTGATTTAAATGGACTTAGGTGGGATGATTTTCCTCAAAGAACATAGTCAAAAGTCATAATTTATATGGTTCAGGTAAATGGAAGGCTCTGATTAAACATTTCCACATAGATTATTGATTATCTGACATAAAATCCTGGTCCTTTAAAAATAAGAGCACATCCATAATAGCTGTATTTTCTAGGAGTAATACACCTTGAAAAATCAAATCAATGGCTGTCATTAAGGGAAGTATAAACATTGTAGAAGAATTTCCAACCACTTTGATCTTTTTTTCTACCACTGTGTTTGAAATTAAGGTCTGATTCCATATCGAACCCCTAAAAATTTACTAAAAATATAACAGATGCACTGATGGTTTAATTCTCTTGTTTGTAAAACTAAGATCCTTAATGAAAATTCTAGGTTATAATTAATGGTTTATGTTTAAAAACTATAGGATGTTCTATTGCTAAGCCACGAGAGCCTGGGTTCGATCCTCAGCACCACATACAAAAATAAACAAGTGAAATAAAGGTGTTGTGTCAACTAAAAAATAAATATTAAAAAAAACTCTAGGATATAATTAAATAGTGCAAAGTAACCTTAACACTGTAAATTAGTATATAAGTCTGATCTATTATTTTCAGGACATCATTAGACACTATAACAAAAAGTAATCACATACCATAAAGAAGACAACATAATTTTTTATGATTAGGAATTATGATGTGGAAAACAAATATATAATATACAAAGAGAAAAACTTACATAATATATATTTTCTTCCTTTTTTCTAGCAAAGTTTACTTGAAAGATCAAAAACTCACTTACCCACACCCATTAACTTTGAAACATTTCAAACTCTACCATTTATTGTTTTTCTTTCTTTATCCACTTTTATTTTCCCTTCCTTACATTGCTTTCATGAAAAAAAGCCTACTAGCTATAATTTCATGCCTTTAACAATTTTTTAATTCCCTTAATCATTTGGTGGTCAACAATGTCATGTCATTAGTTTTTGTTTTCATGCATTCCAAAGTACACTTTCTTTTTAAATATATCTTCTCAATCCCTTCATGTAAATGAGCATACTAACTATTCCTTAATACCTGTTTAAAACTTTTCTCATATATCTATTTGTTTTATAAGTAACAATTAAAAAATTAAAAAGTATTATGGCAGCCTACTATTTTAAGGTAGCAACTTTAACTTAAATGTTCATATACAAACTCCATAAATGGGACACTCTCCTCAAGGCTATAATGCACATTTAGTTAAGTTTTCTAAACCCAGTGACAACAAATATATTATTACCTATTAAATGCAAAAGAAAATTAACCAATTTTATTAATTACCCCAAAGGTGAAAAATTCCAAAACTGATAAGATTTTTCTCTGTACACAATCTGTTCACTCACACCAGAAATAGCTACTAACATGCCTACAATGATGACTTGCCAATTTGGATTTGCCTACTTTGTGGTTATTTGGTATGCCAAGGTTTCTTGCCAATGAACATGTGAACGTACTCATCTTCTAAGACAACAATGTTTACTCAAGGCTAACTGATCACATTTATTTTTTTTTATTTCCACACCAAAGTTTGTCAAAGCTGACAGATAAAGGCCATCTCTCTATAGAGAGGCTTCACATTTATTTTTTAAATGTTAAATTCAAGCTTTTCTCCCACATGAAATATATAGACAACTCCAATATTTAAAGCAAGTTTTAGGAAACTTTATTGGCAGTGGTGATTGGGTATTGCAAATTCTTCCTTTATATGCAACTTGGAGGTGTGGCATGGCCCCTTCCCTCCTCTATAACCAGGGATAGCTTGGCTTGCCATACAAAGCTTCACTGCCTTTTAATCTCAATTCAAAGACTAGACCTCCATTCCAAGACATAAAATGGTTGACAAGGATGTCCAAGAATCACCAACATGACCACGAATCCTGCTTGCCCTCTTTTCAGGTAAATAATTATGAGATATATCATAGTTGTATTTTATGCATTTATGCCTCTTCAAATCTAGACTTTTCTATATTTTTAGTCTTTTGGATAGAAATCAATTTCAAATAATACTTATGTTTGTATTAAGGTAGTTGTCAACTATGATGACACCTCCATTTTTAGAAAACAGTAAAGAACAATATATCTTTCCAAACTGTAAAAAAGCCTTGAATATTCCTGAATAACATCCTTCCCATTAACCTGTTTTCTGAACATTCTGGTTCTTTCCATTCCTGTGTTATTATTTTAGTCAAAGAAGCCACTTGTCCCAGTATTGAGAACAGAATTCTGCATCTATAA